GGCCGGGCTTTCGACCTCGCAGGCCCCGGGGAAGTCCTGGCCGAGCTTCCTGCCTTCAGTTCCCTTCCCATGTCGGTCAGGTTTAATTTGGGACCTGGTAGGATGTAGGAGGAGTTCGAATTTCCCCTCCTTCCGGTACTCCCGGCTTTCATTTATCAGCACTAACCTTTATTTGTCATTGTCCCTAACCTTGTTTGACTCCTTCTGGAACACTTTGGTCCTGCTGGTCCTGACTGATGGCCCTGTCATCTGTGAACCTTGCAGTCTTTCTGTCATCCCTCCTCCTCCTCCTCCACGAGTTATGAGTACCCTGAGCAACAGCAGACCTTGCCTGGAATGTGTGATAGATGAAGAGAAGCAGCGCGGTATTTTGGTAGCTTTCTCATCACACACTCCATTTTTAAAGGAGAGGGAGTGAAAACTCACCAAGGTGAATAGTTATCTGGATTTTTGACTTCCTGATGAGGCCGTTGTTAATGGGATGCTTGGGATAACGTCAGCATGGCCGGCGTTGAGTTGCCTGGGCCTTAGAGTTGAAATCCTTTGAGCTGTAGGATGATACCCCGAAGAGGCCAACTCGGCTTTCCAGCCTCACAGAGACGCCTTAAAACAGGAAGGCCCCCAAAAATGATCTTGAGGAATGGGTGTCCAAACCTGTTTCTAGGCAGCATGTGCCAGCATACAGGTTTGGGGGCCTGCTCCTCCATGTTCTGTTTGGAAAGCGTTGGCTGGGCATGCTCTCTGCATCGTGTTTCGTACGCCCCAGGTGAACGGTGGTGGCTCTGTGACAGGAGAAGGTGGCTGACGAGTTCTTTATCTGTGATTTTCCTGTCTTTGTGTATGGTATTGAATTGGCTAGCTGATTCTTTCCAGCGTGTATCAAGCTGTAATATGTATATTACTGAGCACATTATTCTTTTTAGAATTTTTATGGGATTAAAAATTCATGCTTGGGGAGGGGCCTTGTATTTTGGAACTTTTTAACACACAAAATGAGCAAATTGAAACTCACTCTCTTGTTTTATCTTTTAGATCAACTCATATGTAGAATGTTGTGAGTCTGTGAAGCACCTTAGCAGTTTCTTTCACTCTTCCTAGAAGGCCAGGTGTCACAGGAAAACTTCACTTTTTTGTTACAAGAATTAAGTGGCATCCAGAAACGGCAGCGGATTACCGACCTTCTGCTGAGTGGATGGCAGCACCATTAAAAATGTAATATTTCAGAAAGTTTATTTTATTCTTACAATGTTCTCCTGCTTGTGGCTGTTCCAGTGGTGACATTTGAGTTTATCTAAAGAGCATGAACCTCCCAAAGGCTATTTCTTTACATGGTGGGCACGGTAAATGGGGACAAGCTGCTGCTGTTCACAAAGAGTTAGTCTCTGCAGCTGAGCTGTTTGAGTGGTTCTCTTGGATTCATCTGTTGAAGGTTTTGTCAGAATGAAAGCTCCTCCTCTAAAACCAGGGCTCAGACGTGAAGCCAGTGTGTTGAGTTTGCCCCTGCAAACTACAGCTGCTGCAAGCGGGGTTCGTGCTCCGTCACTCGGGCACGGTCTTGCGGAGTGCTCTCAGTGCGCGCACCGATTTCCCGGCAGCTGCTCAGGGACACGGGTTAAGTAGCTATGTAAGAGTTTGCTGGAAAATGCTAAGGTGTCTTTTGTGTCCTGGTGAAAGAGGTTGTAAGGAGAGACTGCATCATCAGATACGGAATGCTCTGAATCTGGAGTATGTGAATTTTAACCTATCTTGCTAATTTAGTCCTCCAAAAATATCTCTGAAAACAAACACTGAGCCATATATACACAGCATGTGGGAAGCGTGTTCGGTTGCATGCTCCAGGCACAAAACTATGTTTGGTTTAAGTAGTGTTGGTTTAGTATCTGACCACTTTATATGGCTTGCGAAATACATTCTTGTAACACACTTCCGAGCTGCTTAGTATTTCCTTTCTGCAGACAGGAAATTATGGCAAAGAGGCATGTAAAATTATGGGGGTGTCTTTGATAATTGAGAACAGACCTCGATTTCCTAAACTCCTTCATCGTAAGTTAACCCATCCTCCCTTTTATTAGCCCCTGATTCATGTAGAGCCAACAGATTACCTGCAAATTTCTGTAACGGTGAAAAGGAATTAGAACCTGGGGCCAAGCAGAAGAGATCAGAACTGCAATTTCCATTTACATGTAATTTGAGGCAGGAAGCAGTGAAGAGGCTTACGCGGTGATGCACATTGTATTACAGAAGGTTTTTGATATCAAAGTACAATTTCCCACAGCCTTGCAATTATTTTTGTTAGTAACAAAAGTAAAAAAATCCTTGAAGTAACTTTTAAATTACTTTACTTTTAATTTGAAGAGTAATAGGATTTCTGGTTCAACAAAGGGAAGATCTGCCTGGGTCTGAGCGCCTGGGTGTGTGAGGAGACTGGGGAAGTCCCTGTTGTTTTCTAGCATTATCTGATGAGTGCATTGTCGTTTCATAATTCCCGGAATTTGGCACATCAGGAGCCTGGGGTGAAGCAGAGAGCAGCTAACAGGCTACTGCTCATCACTCGCAGAACAACAATGGGTGTGTGGAAGGATGTTAAGATTATAAATCCTAAACACTCCAGAAGATCAAGATATTTCAGTTATCTCTGCGGGTCCCACAAGGAGAAATAAACTGGTAGATGTCTTTGAAAGGCTGCCTTGCCATTGGATGCGGTGACAGTGAGACCGCAAGGCTTGGCTGAGCAAGGGGAGGAACATCCTGTGGAGTGTGAAAAACATGATTGCCTCATTGTTCTTGCAAGACCTTCCATTATTTTCAGTTTGTTTATTTGGTGAAGCTTTGCCAAGTTTAGAAATGAGCAGAAATCTAGAATCACCGCTGTGTCTGGGCTGTAGAATCCACTTACAAAAGTACTTGGAGAACTCCTTTTTTTCTTTAAAAGAAATATGATCCAATGCAAACGCATATATCAATATTACTACTCACATGGGTGGACTCTTGCACGACTGCTGTTTGATTAAGAGGGATCTGTGAATTAGCCAGGATAATTCCAGAACAAAGTTCTCTTCTTTCCTGCATTAACACTCTCAAGCTTGTAAAAACTTACAACTAGTGCTGATATTGCGTGCTACTAGGGAGCCGTTTGGAACCTGACTTGGTGATGATGGAAACAGAATTGTGTTTCTATATGTCTGCCCGGAAAACCGTAAGCAAAGAAGCAAAGCAAAGTTGTTTTAAGCAAAGAAGTTGAGTGTTGCAAAGTTGTTTTAAGCAAAGAAGTTGAGTGTTGCAAAGTTGTTTTAAGCAAAGAAGTTGAATGTTGCAAAGCCGTTGTAAGGAACCGCCAAGCCGAGAGTATCTGCTGTGCTGCCTCTCCTCCTGCTGGGGCTACTGAAATGTGTTTTCCTTCTCTGCCTTCCTGCAGGTCTCTTCCTTCCTGGAAATTCAGCAAAGAATTAGCGTGCCCGGGCTGTTGGATCTCTTCCGTGTTAATGGATAATATTTGATATGTGCCCTGTAAATCCTGCCCTGGGACTCTCTGACCGGTGGGGTGCCTGATGCCTGTAATCCCCATTCCCCGCCGGGTCCGTTCGTTCCACGGCCCCCACACGACCTGCCTGCATTCGGCCTGTGGCCCGGTAAGGACCACTCACTTGGTGCGCACCAAGTACAACAATTTCGACATCTATCTCAAATCCCGATGGATGTACGGATTCATCCGTTTCCTGCTGTACTTCAGCTGCAGCCTGTTTACCTCCATCCTCTGGGTGGCACTCTCTATCTTGTTTTGCCTTCAGTACCTTGGCATCCGGATCTTTCTGCGTTTCCAGTACAAACTCTCCATCATCCTCCTCTTACTGGGGCGAAGGCGGGTAGACTTCAGCCTCATGAATGAACTGCTCATCTATGGAATTCATGTGACCATGCTGCTAGTAGGGGGGCTGGGATGGTGTTTCATGGTATTTGTGGATATGTAAATAAAACAAGCGCATGTGGGCCGAGAAGGTGACTTTTCTTCCACCCCAAAATGTGTCAATATCTTATTTCCTTTTTTATATAAATTAATTTATTTATCAGTGCTGCTTTTTACTGACAAATTAAGGTACTCATCTCTGGAATTTGTATCTTTTTGAGGGTGCCATTTTGATTATCAAAGTGCAACACTTGGGTGTTTTTTCTTTGCACAGTGCAAGTTAATATAAATTTCTTCTAGTCCATAGGAGCCTACCTTGCTGCTGTTCCTGTATTCCTGTGGGTGTGAAAAGGGCGGTGATTTATCTGGAGGACAGAAGCCGGATAACTTTGCACCCCACGCTCTGAATCCATCTGCACCTTTTTTCTAAAAATGTCCCTTAATGTCTCAGGCATGTAATACGTATCCTACTTGACCAGTGTTATCCTTTCTCTGTGTAGTTTGCATTTTGCGTATTCCGTGCTGAGAATATGGGGCCAAATTCAACCGAGTGTAGGGGATTTGGGGTTTTTTTTTTTATCTGTTTTGGTTTTAGATTTGTGCAAGACATGCTTTTGACCCACTATACTGTTCTGTTCACTTTAGTGTAATTCTATAGCTTCGAATGGCTTTGTGCTTTTCAGGCAGTGAGTGCTGAGTAATTGACTCTTACCCTGGTAGAACAAATCCACTGGAGTGATGGGAGCAGAGTTTGGTACGTGTGCTCTTGAAATTCCCAGTCACAGCAAATATGTTACCATTTTGCAGTGATTAAGGGGAACGCGTTGCAATGGTCCTTAGTGTTTAGGTCTTGGCATTTGGTTCTACTTTTCCCTGAATTGATTAGTTCCAATTAGCTCTGTCTTACAGAGTATGGTGAGATTTGACTGTCTTACCTAGGAGAGATTGAAAGCAGAGTGCAAACTGAAATGGCAGTAATTGTCCTCTGCAATTACAGAAAACATTCTCTCTCCTACCTCTGCAGCAGTGAGAGTGGGGTCACTGGAGAGCTTTACTAACGGCTCGAGGAGGGAGTTAAGCATTGAGCTTAGTTTTACCAGTCTTGATCTAAGATCTCAGGCTGTTCCTCTTGCAGTCAGTCAAGTAATGCTTTGTTTATCGAGTCCAGAAGCTGGCTTAAAGTTTATTTTTCTTCTGGTTTTGTTTGTTTTTCCTTATCATGAAATACTGCTCGTGTGTTCTTTAAAGAGCTGTTTAAAAACAAGTTGGTAAAATGATGGGAGACCCTTTTTCTTTTTTTCCCCTCCCCTGAAATCACTGGAGTCGATCATAACGGAATAAGCAAGACTGGAAATATGTGACTGTTCTTTTATGATCTCTTTGGTCTGAGATACGAATGTGGCTGAGAACAAAGCCAGTTTGCACACAGGGAAGGATACTTCATATTTTAGCTTGTGAGTATTGCAGTCTTTTGCTGACATACTTTGATTTGTAGGCTTATGGATGCAAAATAGGGAAGCTTCTGTCTGAAGCCCAAAGCTAAAGCAAACCCAGAAATTATCTCATTATCAAGTGTTATAGATAATGCAGGCTGAACACGCAGAGCTGAATAAATAATGGGCCGTGGTGGTGTGAACTTTAGATTAGCCCCGCGAGAGCCAAAGGCTGTTTCTGCAGGAAAGATGTAGTGTCAGCATATGTCACAAACTGGTGTCTGGAAGTTTCCGAACTGTAGAGCTCCCCAGAGCTTTGTTCTGGGATCGCTCTCTGGACAGCAGGTACTCGGTGTCCTGCACGTCCAAGCTACAGCTTGCTCTGTGGCCAGAGGGAATTCCCAGTAATTCCCAGCACAGTGTTTTCCTCCCCAGTACAGCTGTCAGCCTGGGGCGCTGGAGCTCTGGTGTGCAGACTGTGGGACTCCTGGGGTGGCTGTGCTCAAGAATTTCTGCAGGAAAGATGTTACAGATGGCCAGCAAACAGCTTTGTGCGAGCTGAGAGACCAGCCGGGACCCCAGCGATGCACAGTCGAGAGCAGCTCTCCCTTGCCCGTTGCAGGAGGCACAGCATGGAGACTGCTTGGAGGTTGGATGGTAGGACCTTGTTTCACCTTGGAGTGGCTGTATTCCAGCATTCCTTATAATGATGAGGGAAAGGGTGATTTGTGGTACGGGTGGGCACTGCTGCGCTCCTCATCCGTGCCTGCTTCAGCTGGTGGGTGCTCTTTGCAGCAGCTACACTCAACTACTTGACCAAACCTGTGGTAGTTTGGTTCAGGCTCCAAAGGAAGTAAAGGTCTAGGCTGTGACCAGGTCGTGAACTTCTCTAGTTCCAACCTGTTCTTTGAAAACCCACACAGGAACAGGGTGACATGGTGAGCTTTGATGTATATGAGCTTGGAAACCGGAACGCTGATCATGCGATTAACACATGAATAGCAGGTGGTTCTTCCAAGACTAATTTGGTCAAGGAACAAAGGAGGTTGTGGGTACGAGGAGTCTCATACTTACCTTTTCCATCGCACGTAATTTGACTACGAGCCAACCACTTTATTCCATAAATACGACGGCCTGAGTGAGCTTTTTCTGAGCTCTCCCTGCTAAGCAGCTGGCTGCATGGCAGTGATCTCCCCTTGAGTTGGGACACCTCTCAAGGTTACTCCTCGAGGCTGAGAGACCCCTTACCACGTGCAGATCTTTGATAAGTGGCCGATATTGCACCTAACCTTGTATCACAGGGCATTAAAATCTTGTGTTGGTAACTTTGAATCATTATTATATCCTCTGTGCAGTAAGTAATAGATTGAGCCTTGCCATCAGACTTTGTTAAGCCTCACATCTTACTTCAATAAAACCACTTTTGCTGCTACCTTTGGCGGTGGTTCTTTAAGCAGTCCAGATCTGCTCCGCGACACTCCTGCAGTGGCAGCTGAACAAAGCAGGAGGGCTTCTGCGTTGTGGTTCATTGCTTTACTGCACAGACTTCCCATCAGCCCTCTGCATCCAGATTCAATGGCGCGTACCGGGGAAAAAGTACGTGTCCTTATCAAATCACAAAAAAGTGATGTTTGCCAAATGCCCAACTGTTCCTCGAGAGAGACCTTGGGGCTAAGTTGCTTTGAAGATGGTGGGAAGTGATTCCCCATTCTTCTTTTGCAAAGGTAGCCAAGTACCTGCTGTCAGAATGCCCTGAATCTCAAGTCTGCAACTGCACACTGAGATAGGCAACCCCGAGATTAAATAATTGAGAAGGAAGCCTCGGAGGCATTATGAACTTCAAAATGCTCTCAGTCTTGGTCATTACCAGCACTTGGACACCTTGCAGTGCTCGGGGGGTGTGATCCTACCAGCGTAGTGGGGGAAGTGAGGTCCCTTTGAAGTCACGCTGGCAAGGAAGAGGAATTAATTTTCAAATGATTTGTTTTATGATGTAATAATTTGAACATTTTAGATCTACATGAGCGGAGCAGTATTTGGCACCTTTACGGCACTTTTCAAAGCGTTTTCCAACTGAAGCTAATTAAACCTCACAACATCCCCAGGAGACTGCAGGATAAGTAAGATCTTGGTAATGGTTCAGAATTTAAATTCAGTGTTTTTAAATTTGAGATTTTTTTTTTTTTTTAAAGCTTTTAGGATTACTTTGCCAAAATATTTTTTTCTCAAGGAGCTGAGATTCTGAAAGTTTCTTACAAGCTCAAGGGGAGCCAAGCCACAACTGAGGGAGGGAGAAAGAGGCAGAACAAATGTTGTATTAAGTATATGCAAAGAATAAGCTGGGTGGGTTTTTTTCCTACATTTAGTTTAATTGAAAAACCTGGCATTTTTAATAAAGAGGGGGAAAGAAAACCTCATAAGTTAAAACAAGTAAGGAAACGGGGGAAGCTGAACTTTCTGCTTTTCAAGAGTGAAACAAGTGGCTTATAATGGTATTTGCCAGAAATATTTCACGTTGAGCAGGTAGTTGCAAACTGTGCCCCACTGGGGAAGTTCATATTCTCTTGGATTTTTTTTTTACTCTTTCCAAATTCATTGATGCTGGGAGGGATGGATCGGGATCCAAAATGCATTAAGTCTTCCCTTCCTACTATATAAATGGCTGTAACTCTAAAATCTTTTGACATTTTCATTTCAGCGTTCTTCATCCTGAACAGCCAGAGCAGCTGGTTTGTTCCCTGTCTCTTTTTTTTTTTTTTTCCTTTTCTTTTCTTTCCACGTTTGGGCTTTAAATATCGCTGTTATACTCACTGGGTTAAAAATGTCCTCAAGAGTAATTAGGAAAAATACTAGAAGTACTGACTGGGGAGTGTGCATCCATCCCACACCTATGCCACCCCCTTCGGAGAACTTCACCCGTGAGTCCTGCTCACTCCAGAGCTTTCCAGGTGTTTGGGCATCAGAGAGGCTCTGGCTGCATTGCGCAGACTTAAGGCCGGGGTGGTGGTACCGTGCGGTGGCAGAGCTGCCTTGGCCTGTTGTTTAGCCCGTGAATGTACGAATGAGACGGAAGTGCTGGAGTTTCACCTTGTTAACTCTTCAGAGCGTGACACCAGCTGGTGTTTCGGGTGCCTGTGAAATTCTGTATGAAACATGCCACCTACATTAAAGTTATTTTTTTTAACATGTTGATGGCTTGATTGCTTGTGAAGAAAAAGGAAGAATTTTGTCTTATGCTGCTGGTATCGTTCTGATGTGGGGATATCCCAGATCCTTTTCCTCAGAGCAAGTGCGTGGTAGAGGACGATCAGTCCCTCTGTGGTTCCCTCACTGAGTGTTGGGTAAGATGTCTCTTTTTACATCCTCAAAGGGTCATTCAGCAATGACTTATGAGGAGAGCCAGGAGTGCAGCACAGCCTTCTGGCTCCTGGGCTTTGGCTCTACTAAGCAGTCTGTATTGCCCACCGTGGGCATCTGATTTGGAGGAGCTGTCCCTTCATACTGAGGTGCACATCAATTAATTATTAGAAGGTGCTGTCTTTCCTCCTTGCCTTGCGTGGAGCTGAACTTGCAGTCCAGAGCTGTGTTGTTCCAGAGGACACTTGTGATGATTCCTATGGGAATAGCGGGGAATATTCTTCCTATGATGGACTTCATCATTCC